GACAACGAAAGAGGAGAAGGCGAAGGGGACGCGAGGGAAGCAGCGAGGAATGACCTTAGGGTAGACGCGGGGAAGCAGCGGGAAATCACCAAGGGTAGACGCGGGTAAATGGTAAAAGTTATGGAGGAAAGCGGGAGACGCGATGGTAATGCCGCTGCCCGCTTTCACTCCGCTTCCGCCGCCAGAATGCCCGAAGTCGCGAACCAAACAGGTGACTTTCACGAAAAGCTGCGTGTAATAACCGCGTCGCGCCTAAAAAGCGCTCCCCCTTAATTGTTTAATAAACGCCGCCGCGATCGACCCAACGGCGTGCGTTCGTTCGCGACGTTTACCTCGCTGCCCTCGTCTCTCTCGCGTCTCCTCTCTCGCGACTAAAATCATCGACGTCGTGAACGAACCTTCCCGATACATAGCCGGGATGGCAATGAAGGGATCGCGTTAGTATCTCATTATTCTCAACTGATGGCCAAAAGACCAACGAAGTGACCACCATGAGTTCACCATCTTCCGTTTTCCCGCCATTTTTCTACTCTTCCCATGCTCTTTGCTCTCTTCTTTTTCTAAAAAAATGGCAGCTCCTTCTCGCCCTAGAAAATGACCCACAAACATCGTTGGTTCGCTCGACAGTAGCTCATCTGCTTCAACTTCTTCCGAAGACGATGCAGGGGAGTTGGAGGAAGAGGGATTAGAAGATGTGCTTAACGACAAAGATGAAAAAAGGGGAGAAACTACTATTTATCACATATTTTTTTAGGTTTGCAAGGAAGAGGGTCACCAGGCAGGATTCCAGGGGGGCAATTGCATGGACTGCCCTAGAAAGCGTTGCTTTCTCTGTAAAATGATCGGTAAGCTGCCCCTATTTGAAGAAGAAAGTCATAGTTTTTATGCAGTTGTATCAAGCATTTGTTGTTTCTTCATTGAGAAGCTAAATGAACTGTTAGCATTTGATATTCTTTCGGTTAAATGGGTGAATTTTTTATTCTTTTTTTTTTTTAATTTTATTTTATTAGGAGTCTAAGACCACACGACAATGTCATGCCAACATAGACTGGCTTTGGAGCATGGAGTGGTTCCAGCGCTTAGAAAAACAAATAGACACAACTGAATTATGAGTTTGAACGACAACTGATGTCTCAAATTCTGAAAGTGAAAACTATTTAGAATTTTTATATTCTCCTTCCTTAAAGAAAAAACTTATTAGGGAATACACATAATTATCATTACCAATCTTCAATCATATGGTTATATATATCGAGAAACCAATCTTTCCTAACTTACAATCTTACCAAATACCTCTAGCCTAAACTTGGAAATGAAATAATTATGAAATAAACATAAATATGAAGAGAATAAAGACCTATTCTGATAAGGCTTTTAGGGATAAAAAATCAAAGATTTATAAAATAGATGCACTCTAAAAAAATAAAATTTACTTTTCTGCTTTGGCAGTATAGAATATATTGTCATGAGAATTCTGTTACAAACAACATTACTTAACAGGGACAGAATGATCAATTATCCACAAACAACTGCAAATCAATTGTTTTCAAAAAGTGCCCCAAACAACCAGTCAACTTATCATGATAAGTTGTTGATTAACAGCTTATTAGGATAAGTTGCTTATATGAATAAACTGAATAAGTTACAGCTGCCCCAAACAAACCCTTAACAATCTCAAGCAGATTTGCAAGATTTATTGAATCCAATTCAAAATAAATCCTACTCGCAACGAAAAACTACTTAATCTAGCACTTAGAGGTTGTTTAGGAGCTGATTTCTAAATCTTGTTAAATTGAAAAAAATACCTCTGTAAATCTTCAACTCTCGTAAATCTCAGAATGACGCTGACTCACGATAAATCTAAGATTTACTAAATCCTATGAATCAGCAGGTTTAGTAAATCTGAAATGAGCCTAGACTAAGAATGGCGCGAGGAGGCATACTTTTCCACAATGATTTATGTGAGGAGAAGAGAGGAAGGTTGGGAAAGATAGGAGTTTTGGTGGTCTCTGTGAGCCAAGCTCCTATCATTCTCTTCCCAGCTAGTTGTATTGGTCGGCGACTAGTGAAATCGGGAGAGGGACGAGGGAGGCAGAAAAGAGAGGCTTTTGGATGAAACCAGGAGAAAAACGAGGGAGGAAGATAAGCGAGGGTTTTGGGTGAAACCAGGAGATGGACAGGGATGCACGAAAGAAGAAAGGGAAATTAGGGTTTTCAAGGCCGACTTCAAAATAAGGTCATTTTCAAAGAGCTTATAAACGACAAAAAACTGTTGGTTAAAAGTCACCGCTTATTAAAAACAAATGTTGATTTCTCACCCAAGAAATGCAACTCCATTAATAACCGACGAAATCCATCCATCGTTACCATTCAGAGTTGAACTAACGGTATAAAACGTCGATAACTCCAAAAAAGTCATCGGAATTTACTTCATGTAGAAAGCGACGGGCTAGGCAGTCGTTTTGTCTTCGGAAATTATCTAGTTGATTTACCGTTACTATGTTATCATAAATTAATAAGATTTTTTCTACGCATACAAAACCACCGATTTCCGTCGATTAGAACTTCTTTTCATGTAGTAATTTTTTTTTGTGTTCGGCTCGTTTATATATCCAACGCAAAATACATGTTTGTGGTCGGCTCATTTGCTTAGTGAACGAATCAAACACGAGCTACTTAACAAGACAAAGAAAAGTTGTTCATGAACAATAAGCCCCTTTAACAGCTCTAACTACCATCATCCGCTTTGGTGCATTTACAACTGATATGTAAGGAAGATCCACCTTGGTGATCTTGAAATTGCCTTTTCTAGTTACCTAAGAGACTTCTTATATTGAAATCCTCATATTCTCTTAATTTGAGTCACCTTTATACTTTTTTGATAAAGCCATGAAAACTATTTCACTTAAGAACTCATTGTTTTCTGCTTTCCATGTTTTTTCTACATAAAAATCTTGTTCTTCTATACTTTATGCATGATGATGAACCCTTTGTGTTACAAGAAAAGGCATTAATCACTTAATTTCATCAGCCTTTCCACAATACAAAAATTCTAAGTATTTTGTTTTCCTTACAATACCCTCATCAGATTTTTTATTTTATTTATTTATTTATTTATTTGTCATTGAGGGCACTATTATCAAGCTTCCTTTTACTAAATAAAAAGTCATAAAATATAAAGAAAAAAATTGACTAAAAATTATAAATAATAATGTGTATGATAAGTTAATCTTGAAATACCAATATACACATGAATCTCTCCTCTTACCCACTCAAATCTACATTCTAATATAGCAATCTCTAATCAATGTCTCTTCCTTTTGATGAAGATAACGTTTCAGAGAGAAAAATAAGTCAAAAGTTAGGTGCATCTTTCCATCAAGCGATGTTGCAGAAAAATGCCAAAGGATCGAAGCAAAATTAAAGCTTCAAGGTCTAACATGCTTCGCTGACCTGCCCATCACGGCACACGCCCACCTTAACTATCATGGACTTCTTGTTGTCCACCTTTGTAGACGGAATAACTCTGCAACAGTTTCTCCTCGGCGCCTGCACACATGAAAAGGCAAATGGCAATGCACACACACACATACAAATTAATATATATATATATATATATATATGAAAGATTCACAAATATGCAACACAATTCTTATGTATTTTACATTTATACCACTTCGCACTAACATGATAATGTGTATTTCGCTTTTGAAAGCTAAAGATGATGATATTTTCTCATGTGATATAAAAAAACTGACTATTACAAATGTAAAAATTTAAAATTTAGGTGTTGAATATATAAATACAAAAGAATTATGTGAGAAGTATAAATTCCCCACATATTCACCCATACTAAGTATAAATTAAGTTCAAGAAGTCCTTTAACATCATAAATGAGTCACTGAGCTTAGCAAATTTTCAAACTCCCATGTGCCAAGGACCACGATCAACAAATAACCGATTCTTCACACAAGCCAAAGTTGAAGGGAAGATACTCTACTCTCATTATTGACACCTTAGGAAAGTCTAAGGAGTTGGAAATGAAATTGCATCTAAAAGTTCATCTCAAATTATTTTAGCATGTAGAATTTAAGTTTCACTTCTAGTCACTAGCAGCTAAATAGAGGAAGAGGTTGTACTCGACTATTTATTACTTGTTTTAGTAGTTAGCTAAACATTTTGCTGCTTTTTGGTTGCCAACAAATTAATTATCAATTTTATGGAGAGTGTGAAGCATAAGATCTCATAATGTAGAAGTATGTTGTAGAAGTTGAAGTTGAGGTCAATCAATTGATTTACATCTCCGAACAAATCTTTTTAAGAAGAAAACCAAGTCCTTTACCACCTAGGGCTGAAAAAATATATGGTTGACTTGCAAATAGTTTCCCATATTCAAGTGATAAAAAGTCGCCTGAAGAAAAAAGGTGATGCTGCCTTAAGTCGGTTTAATCCATTTGTCAAAGAATTTTGTACTTGCAAAAAAATTTAATCTTATTTCAAAAACCCAAGAAGGACCAAAGGAGAAGGCAGCACAATATTTATTATTTGTTGGACAACATTATAGAGGAGTATTGATTGCACCTATGATGCTCATATAAGACTTAAATTATTGACATTTTAAAACAGATTTATACCTAGAAATGTTGAAGTTGATAAAAAGGAAAGAAGCTTGTTAATTTTTAAGAGATTTTAAAACCTAGACTTACTTTCACTCTTCTCGCTTTTACCACTGTGATTTACTTTTCCTAATAAAACCTTACATATTTTTCCACTAATACTTTGGATCCAACTAATCATTGTGCTCTAATATTTTATAAACATAAGTTTATGAAATGTTAGCTGAGCTTAGTGATGATCGTAAATTTAAAATCTTGGTGAAAATAAGATAATCATGAGGATGTGCAAAAAAGGAGACCGAAGAGGGCAACTTCTCAAAGTTGAAAACTAAAAAGACCTAAAGTAATCATATGAAGTGGGAGAACAAGATCTACACTCATAACAAAAAGTGTGATTGATGGTTCACATGGATGGAGAAAATGTGAGGAAGATAATAGTGGTAAACCCTAGTTTTATATTTTAAAAGCTTACTTTTTAAGCCAACTATAACTATGCTTGACAATGAGAAGTTTAACAAGGAAATTTTTAACATTTTAATTGATATTAAAGGTCCAAGCTAGCTTGAATATAAACTAAACTCCAACAAGTAATTTGTATCACCTAAAACTTGCTTTCAATTCATACTTCAATAAAAACATAATTTTTTAAATATTTTTAAGCTCTTCCATTTTGATTTAATGGGTCCAATTTGACAGATTAAAAATAAAATAGGGAATTAGACTTAAACACAATTTTTATATATTTAATACCTAAATTTATATATACATGAACTTCGCATCAAAATATCACTAATGACTGATATTATCTTTTCTAAAATAAGCTACATACATATGTTTCAATATGATTATCACACAAAAATATTAAATAAATAAATGTCGAAATTAAGAATTTAAATATATAAACCCCAAAAAAATTATATTCAGCCTAGCCCACCATCAACCAAAGAAAAGCTGCATCAGCTTACCCTGTCCCACAGAGCAGGGTCTGGCTCCTTCAAAACGACGACTTCTTCAACAAGCACAAATGGATCAGCCAACTTCCAGCGGCAGACTGGAGGCCGCTGCTCCATGTACCGACTGTATCGCGTAACAGTCATCCCGCTCGAATTCCTAATCGACGAAGATGAAAGATAATACAAAAATGGATTTTGGCACGGATTCCGCGCAATCTCTCGAGTATTGAAGTCATATGCAGTATACTCTGCACTACGATACCAATTCAGGAAAGTCCTCGCCGGCCTCTCCATCTCCCGCGGTGACATTATTCCCCTCACAACCTGCACAACAAACCCCCACGACACTGAAACCGTCCAATGCCGCTTCAGATCGTAGCAAATCGACTGCTGCATCACACCGGCAGAGTCGAGACGTACTGGTCCGTCGAAAAGGCGGCGGATTGCAGCAGCCTGGGAGGGTGAGTTTGGGAATACGGCATCAACGGCGTCGAGGTGGTGAAGAGACACTAATGGAGCGATTGGATGGGCGGCGAGCAGGCCGAGCAGATCGCCGTGGATGTCGAATTGGTGGAAGCCGGGGTGGTGGGTGAGGGGCACGCCGAGCTCCGACATGCAGGCTTGGATGCGATCGTCGCTGCCGTAGAGTGCAGGGTAGCGGCGTATGCATCTGTCCTGCATCCGGGAGAGGGTAATAGCGAGGGGGCGGGTGATGGCGAATCCGCCGCCGCCGTATGCCATGTTGTAGGAGAACATGATGTTCTGAAGATGGCTTTCGGATACAGAGCCGATGTAATAGGGTTGATTGTAATCGAACTTGTTGAGAACGCGGATGAGGTTTTCGACAATGAAGACGGTGTCGTCGTCGCCCATGACGAACCACCGGACGTCGTCGAGGTTGAGCCGGACGGTCTCGGCGATGATTCGGGAGATTCGGAGAGCGGAGCGGCTGGCGGGGTTGTGGGTGTTGGGGGGCTTTGGAGGTGTTGGAAGAGATCATGATGGTCGGAAGAGAAGCAGAGGATGATGTGGGCTCGTTTACAGGCTGATCGAGCCAAACGAATCCGCGCATCTGGTGCGGACGCCACCAGATTTTGATGTAATCTTTTCGGTTCTGCCATAAATTCTTCGACGCCGCGATGCCGAAGACAATGTGATGTGCAGTGGTGGGAGGGGGTGGGGAAACGGATGGGGAATCGGAAGAAAATGAGGGGGATTCTTCGAAATGGGGGCTGGGGATGAGGGGGTTGATATGGTGGAAGGAGGAAGGGGATGAGATGAATGTGAAGGAGCCGAAAAAGAAGAGGCCGTAGAAAATGATGACGCAAAACAGGGATTTGGAAGAACAAAACTGGAGGATTTGGGATGACGAAGATGAGAGCTTGTAATTAGGCCATGGCCGCTGATTGGCATTAGCAACGGAAGTATCCGATTCAGAATCGTCGTAACAATCTGATTCTTTCATGGACATCAGCTCTTCGGTCCCTCCCTCTTTTTTTTGTTCCTAGATTTTTTCTGCTTATATAACCACATAAAAGGCCAATTCATAATGGATGAAAAGACGAAGTAAATTATGAAACTCTTATTCAAAAAAATTCAAGGAAAGAATATTATAATTTACAACTATTTCAAGATGGCATGAGAAGGGTAACACGATAGAGCTGTATATGTCGGAGATTTTTCAGATGATATTGGAGGTTATAGGCAGGTTATTAAAATGTTATAAAGAATATAACGTGAATATAACTCTTAATATCTTTGAATAATTTCCAGACATATGCGCAGGTCTACATAAATTTTTCTATAGGTGCGGACCGATCTGGTATGCCATGTGGCGGATATTGGTTCATCTCTGGGCTGCGGGAGAATAATTGGTTACAGTAGGGGCTGGTCAAATGTAACGCTTAATGTATTTAATGCAGTCGCGGATTCGCATTGGGGCACAGTATCTAAGCACTGGTTTTTATTGCGATAGGGTGTTCATATTTTCTCCATAAATCGGTATGGACACGTGGCGCATGGAAGGCTACGAGAGACGTATTGAATATTTCGTGAAATAAGAGGTTTTTAAGTAAAAAGTTTTGAAGGTCTATGGAAACGGTTCATTGTTATCAGACTCGCGGGAGAAAAGCCGGAAGCTATATTCACCCGCGGCAGAGCTTTTACTCATGAAAAGGATCATTTTGCCCCGCCCTCCTTGCCGTGTGAGTTCTTATTCCGGCCGAGGCCCGTCGAGCCCCGCCAAAAACCCTCGTCCCTTTCTTCTTCCCGCATGAGTTCTTCTTCCTGGAGTCATTTCTTCTTCCCGCCGAGCCCCGCCAAAAACCCTCGTTCGTTTCTTCTTCCCGCTTGAGTTCTTCTTCGTCGAGCCATTTATTGTTCCCAACCTCATGCCCTCGCTGTCTCACTCGTTTGCCCTTCTTGCGTCGCTCCTCCGGCTGTCGCTCCTCCGCCCATTCCTCCGTCGCTCCTCAGCTGAAAGCCAGACCCACAGCTGAAGCGGAGGAGAACCAAACTAGCAGGTATCAATTTATTGTGGGTTCTAATGTAATTAGGTTGATTAATCCTGCTTATTAGTGAATTCTAAATTGCAAAGAAGATTCTTGTTTTATATGCCAATGTGCAAGGAAGATTCTTGTTTTACAAATAGTAAATGATTTTTAGGTGAATCTTGAAATTCTGATAAATTTGAATAATAACAGAAGTTGGGTATCCATTATATTTCTTCTAAAAGATGTCTGCTGTAATTCAAGGGGAGCATTTACATTAATACTACTTTATTCCTATGTATTTACATATCTAACACCTAAACTCTGCTTTTTAACATTTATACCAACCAAATCTATCATATCAAACAAAAAATACCAATGTTTTAACTTCAGAAAAGTGAAACGAACAATTGATGCATCTGAGGCTGATTAAACTTGATATGAAATTGAATTTATTTTGGTATGTATGAAATAATTCATTTAGAGCAGATAGCTTAAGATTTCTTGCTGAATGGTGAAAGTGCTTGGGATAGTTCTTCCTTGGCAACAGGGAAGCAAGTTTCTTTACATATACATCTCTTGTTGTTCAATATTTGAAGTTAGGGATTAGGCGGTAGGTGTATTGATCTCTGCTCATGTTAATGAGATGATTGATATCAATGAGTTTGTATTTATGAAACAATTATTTCCACTAAATGTTAAGATTAGTGCAAGTTTTATTTTTTAGTTCCACGTTATTCAAAGTTCTGTGGTAGGTGAACACGAACAAAATCCGGCAGCTAAAGTTTGATATATCTTTTAGGACGTGTTATTTATCTTTTAAAAAATAAGAAGAAAGGGGATTTATATACTTTGCATTGAATTCTTATATATTTATTGATCTAAAATATAAATTTGCTGTTTATTTCTGAAAATTTTTAGGGAAATTTACATACTTACCACATGAGTTATATGTATTGACATGTCCGGCAGCTACAGTTTGATATATACAGTCACATCACTTTGTTGTCATCAACCTTCCAAAAGCTAGATGTTTTTTTTATTTTTTATTTTTTATTAACTTCAATTTTTTTTCCCAATTACTAGAGTTTAATTTTGTTCTGCTGTATTTATTTTACGAAAATAGACTTTTTGTGCATACTTGTCCAAATGAACCTAATGTGGGAATGACAGTTGATTATTGAAAAGTTTCATCGCTATGAATTCCATGAGTCTCTCTCTCTCTCTCTTTAGGGATCTCTGCATTTCTCATGTAATAGTGGAGCAACTTGGACCGATGCTTCTGCAAGTAACCGCCGCTGCTAGTGTCATTGGTAGAGGACACTTGGATGTTTTTTTCTTTTTGCTGCTTTTTAATAGAACTATGGAAATCTGAGCCAAAGAATTGCCATTTTTATCAGCTTTTCTATATTTCCTTGCAACCACCTAGGGCCTTCCAGGGGGTTGTTTGCAATTTAGCTGAAGTTGTAATGTATCTTGGTTTCTTTTAACCTGGATTTGAATTATATGTATACTTACATGCCTATTGAGATCAGAACTCTTATTTTATGTATAAATTTATCTGTGCTGCTTCATTCTCCAAATAAAACTAATTAATAATAAGGAATTTAGTTCTGTTTGATTGTAATTTTTATCAGCTTTTTATGAAATTCTAGAATTTGCGAGCTTGAAAAGGTTTTTGGCTTATTTTTCAGGAAAAAGAAATCTGAGCTATTTTTGAAAAATTCATGAATATTTTAAAATGATATTTGCAGGCAGTTGTAGCCGCTTCAAACAGTCTATGAGCCATTCTAATGGAGAATTGCATACTCATAATTTCTTTTCTACTTTCGTTTAGCTTTCTATAATTTTCTCTGATGTGAAATCATGCATTGAAGGATTGCTTTAGAGGATGTATTGCTACTGTTAAAATTGAGATACAAATTCTTTAATATCATTATTATTTTTTTGTCTATGCGCCATTCTAATGGAGAATTGCATACTCATAAATTCTTTTCTACTTTCGTTTAACTTTCTATAATTTTCTCTGATGTGAAATCATGCATTGAAAGATTGCTTTAAAGGATGTATTGCTACTGTTAAAATTGAGACACAAATTCTATAATATCATTATTATTTTTCTTTTCCTTCTTTCTTTTTAACGCAAACTAATCAGAATTTCTCCACGAATCAAAAGAAATAAGGCCAATTTATATATTTTTTTCAATATATAATGTATGCACCAGCTTGAATGGGTCTTTCGTAAGACATCCAAAATAAAATGCAAATATTCGTAAAATTTCAAAGTTTATGTGTTAGATATGTAAATTCATAAGATTGTGTTGCATATGTGTTCTTATTCATAAACAGAAGTTGTAAGCACTTTTGGGGCTTACTAAAGTTCCCAAAAAATGATTGTTATACTCTTCTTTTAAACAATTTTATCAAACAGGGGCAATATGGTCTTTTTTTTCATAAACAACTGCCCGACAGCTGGTTTCACACAGCTGCACCAAACAGACAATAAGTTTCCTCGCAGCTGCTTCCCCACAGCTGCTTCCTGGGACAGCGCAGCTGCAGCTGAAAAGTAAACGGTTTGAAGAAAAAATTGTAAATAATGAGCAATTTTGACGAACTGAATTGAAATTTGTGAATCTGCATTAACTCTAATAAATCAATTAATAGTGGATTTGAATTAGTGGTCTTATGCCATCTAGAAAAGAGTAGGAACTCCGAAAAGGGAAATTTAAAAAGAAATTTATTATCTCCCAATCAGGGAGTAAAATAGAGAACACTTATAGGTTTAGGTTAGCCTCAAGAGTGATCATATAAATGACTATATAAAAAGTGAAAGTATATAGCTAAGCGTTTAGAGCGTGATTGATAGCATTGTCAATCTATAAAATAAATTAATGAAGTCGGCCTAATCTATCGAGTTAGTCCGGCAAACTAAATTATATAACTAATTGGGTGAACTGTTTAGCCGAACAGGCTAATTAAGTTGACTTATCATATTATTTAGCTAAATCATCGAAGTCGACTGAACTCTGAGTTATCTTATTGAAATATTAGCCAAATTTAGTTGTTGCTCTGTGCTTTTTCTTAATGTGCCTATAATATCTTGGTTTAGATCAAGTGTCTTGTGTTGGCTGATGTTTAGAACTTGGTCAAAGTGTACTCAACTATACAAAAATTAATTCAATTGGAAGTAATTTTTATTATTTTAATTGAATTTTTTATTAGATTACGGGATTTTAAATGTAATACAAGTTACAACTCAAAACAGTGATATATGTGTGACACACTTATGGTACATAGTGAACACAACTATTATATATCTTATTTAAACAAATTAAAAGAATATCTTTAATATCTAAATTTATGGTTTTTAAATTAATATTACGTAGTAAATATTAACCACTTTAGTTAGCCATCAATAGCCAAATACAAATTTTATTAGCACTACTAGTTAGGGGTGGACGAGAAGGGCACTCACCATCATTAAAACTTCGAGTAAATTCTACTATTATAATTCACTTTTCAAATATTGTTATTGCAGACATAAATGCATAATTATAATTTTTCTTTTATAATGGAGAAGATCAATAAAAAAATTCTGAATTAATGCAATTAATAAAATTTCCAAGCAACTAAAATTATAAAAGTAACTACACCTAATGAACTAAATATCGGTAGGCACCTTAAAGTGTCTAGGAGATAGATGTTGGAGGTCATCTACTAGCATTCTTTGCAATGCAAGATACACACAATTAAGCATGTTCTAGTGGAATATAAGAAAACAAATACAAAAAGAAAAGCAAATTATGATAGAACATATAAGAGAACATAAAAATAAAACAAAATAACATGAAAACATGCAAATTACATGGTGAAAAATCAATTTGAAAGAAATAGAAGGGTTATACCTTCCTTGATTTGATTTGATGAGCTTGCTTTGATTTTTCTTCCTTAATTTGCTTGTTTTCCTTGATGATTTTCTCATTTTGTGAAAGAAGCATAAAAGAAGAGCACCATAGGTTCTCAGATTGATGAAGGAAAAGGGGTGAAAGCCTTTAGTTTTGATGGAAGAAAGAGATGAGTTGGCATGTAGAGAAAATGATAATATGGGTTACTGAGCTGGCATATGGAAAAACGATAATTCTAAAATTTGTGACAACAATATTCACTCATGAAAATTTAAAATAAGGAGCTTAACATAAATTTTTTTTTTCAAACGATCATCGAACTTATTTGCATGGTCTTTACATGTGATAATAAATCTCATGAAACTTTTAAAACCAAGATTTGAGTATTACAATGATCTCAAAAGAGAAAACGATAATCTCAAGATTTCAATTTTTAAGATTGTTTTTATGGTTACTTTGGTTATGTTTAAAATTTGATCATATTTGAAAATTGCTTTGAATAATTTTAATTTTCATAAAGTTAAAATCAATTTTTATTAAATTAGGGTTTACTCAAGACTAGGCTCAAGTGAAATCCAATTGAGTTTAAGCTGGGAAAATAGGGTTGACCAAAAAATGAAGTCAACAAACAAATAATTATATCTTATCACTGGACTATTCATTTATTTTTTGGGACTTATGAGCAGGAGGGAGCACATGTAAATAAAAACATCTCTCTATCATGTAATTATTCCCATTATAATGGGTGCACTATTTCGTTGAATTGCTCAGCAATTTGTTTTAAAGTGGAAGTAGCTTTCGCATGCATTAACCAACTTGTCCTCTTCAAATGCTAGTATTTCTTTTTGCTTCTCTTCTTGAAGAATCATAAATCAGACTTTGCCAACAAGGGGAAGAAGTTTTATGCATTAGAAGGATTTGGCCATGAACAGTTGAGTATGAGTCATTTAAGCTTATGGAAAACCACATTAACTTGTTTTCTTTGTTCTCATTCCTCAATGTCCTTAATGGCACTGCAAAAGAAAATTGGAAAAATATTAAAGGATGCTAATTCATAATATAATGCTTTTAGTTTTGTAAAATATATTGCAATTAAGGTTGTTTCTTGGTTCTGTGAAACAATGCCTCCTTCAATCTAAATGATTTTTGGAGTTTTATTGTGCGAAAACCTATCCATTAGATCAAACCAAGCCTCAATGGTTGAATCAACATATAAAATACTACTGATAATATCAGAATATATGGAATTGAGTATCCATGTCAGAACCATGTCACTGCATTTTTTTTCTAAAAGAAAATATTTTAACATAAGATAGTGTTCTTATCGTCCCGTCAACAAAATCCATCATATTTTTGGTGTTGACGGTGATGTCAATTGCACGCTCCAGATGACATAATTGCCATCATTTAAAGGCTTTGTGATCAAAATAATTCCAATATAATTCAAAGTGATGAGGATGAAAGAAATCCAAACGAATATAGTTTCAATGGATTTCGACAAAACATCCTTTATCGCTTCCATCTAAATGATAGCTAACAGGGGAGCAGCTTACCAAAAGTGACTAGGAATCCTGCTTTGATACCATGTAAAAGTATTGAAAACTTTTCATTATAGTTAGAAGTATCAAATAGCTTATTTATACACAAAAACAGTATAACTAAAGATTGTATAACCATCTGAAATGAAGCAGCATATAAAGATATTTCTATAAATTGATAATGAGAATCAAATAACATAATTAAAATTTACTAATTGTCGATTTTTTGGATTTCCATTAATAACCTCTCAGCTTTTATGCTTTCTGATTGGTGATTTCCCAATTTTACCATTAAGGGAAATCTAGAGAATAAGAGTAACTCAGTTCAGCCTGTACTTGTGTTCAAAATATCTCATCCTTGAAGCTCACCAATCCCTAAAATAAAATGTTACATACCTTAAAAAAAAATAAAACTTATGTAGATTAAACACGACCTTTAACAAATCCAAAATGAAAAGTTAATCCAAAAGAAGTATAAATAGGCCTTTACATGCAAACCACCTAATTCATCATATTTATATATCTAATATCTAACTCTAGTTTTTACATGTACCACATAAATCCTTCATATCGCAAAAAAAAAAAAACAAAAAGGCATAATTTTAACTTGTAAGAGTTAAATATGCCTTTTCTTGCATAGGCAAGTAATATATATCTAAAAATGTAAGTTTACATATTTGATGTATAAATATATAAGAATTTAGCGGATTGTATATGTAAAATCTTTCAAATATAATATATTGATATAGTTTGTACTCAACAATTCAGCAAATATTGAGTCTAAATTTCATTGAAAAGGTTTTATGGGAATGGAACTTTCCTGTTTAGGCTGGTAAATTTCAGGCAGTTTTTAATTTGAGACTGGTCTGATTGTGGCAGCTGCAGCTTATTGAGTAATTTGTTGATAGACTGATTAAAAATAATATGTTGATAAGCTAGGTGCAGCGACTATTACAAATTTTGTCTTTTGAAAAAGTCATATTGTTGCCAGAAAGCTGT